GTGCATTCAAAATAAGGGACAGATGATTAACAGATACTGGGAAAAGAAGTACTGAGATGTTAGGAAGTGCGAAACAAGAAAAAACATTTTCTACAACTGCCTCGTTTGCCCTATGGTACAAACCGTTCCAGGATTCACACTATCAAGCCCTTCTCCCAACCGTGAGAGCACAAGGTTTGCTTTTTAAAACAAGGAAAGGTGGAGGCTAATGGGTGACAGTTGATTTTGGCAAGTTGGGCCCTGAGAAGAGGCATTAACTGTTAGAGGGGTTGTGACTCTAAAGCAGTGAGCAAAGAGATGCTGTGCTAGGCAAACAGGATGTAATTGACTTACAATGATGACAGGCTTTAGTATTTTCTCATAGATAATAGCTAGCTGCAGAAAAGAAGATGCCTTAGGCCTGTAACCAAATTGGTCACCTTACAGCTATGAAATGCCCCACCCAGCACTAATTATGACTATTATAACAGTAACAATGAAATCAAAAGTAACTGCTGCTATTCTATGACAGCTGCCTTGCCAAGGCTGGTATTTTATTTGATTATGGAGCAAAGAAAGAGACTTAATCAACTTAAAATTGCCCTTTGTTTCGGAAAGACTTTGTCATTATCTGAGTAAATGTCAAGTTTCTACAAGTCATGAACACAACGCTGTGATTCCAGTTTCCCAGTTTCCAGTGTTTACACCTTACACAGTGTTTGTGCTTCCATGATGAAGGTTAAAACAGAGATTTGCTCATACTTTTATGGTATGTGATATCCCCCCAGTTGGACTGTGGCTGTGACTACCCCTGTAGTTGTCTTTTCTGCCTGGTTCTGTCATCCCCTTTTGTTTATATGGGTTTGCATATGGCCAAAGCACTGCTTTTAAATGCAGCAACTAGGAACATCTGCAGGTGGGCTTAAAATCAGGTGAGTTGCCCTCTTACTACTTCTATTTTTGAAACAAAAAATAGGTTTGATGCTGTGCCACCGTGCTTGGCGAGATAAGAAAGCGGAGCATCACCATCTGTTCAAGGCACAGCCTCAAAGCCTTCACCTTCACCCAACCCAGGGCTCAGAGGACCTCCTGCCAGGAGCTAGGGAAGCCCTGAATCTGGGCTAATTGAAGGAATCTGCAGCCAGCTAGCTTAATATTTAATAGGGATTTTCTGCTGATGGAAATTACAAACAAATTACAGATTCCAGCACGTCACGGTCTCGCTAGACCCAAACAAAAGCACGTGGTGGTAAGGACAGAGTGCTGCATGCTGGGACCCGAGGTCTCCATGGACCTCATTGCTTTAGTAAAGTGTTGCTGATAAGCTACAGTGTACTACAGAGCTCCACATCTTTCCTAGAAACTATCCTTTCCTCAGCTGTGTTTGTAATGCCTTTTAAAATTTCCAGCTCTTCTGTTAGTTTTTATATGGGTGTAGGAGGGTTTCTTTCTCTTCAAATCAAATCTTAGGGCCTCACCATTTCTAGCTCAAAGTCTCCCTAATGCTGCTAATCTCCTATTAACAGCCTACTGACACAGAAGAGACCACAGAAAAAGACTGATTGCCAGCCCTCTGGCCCTGTGACCGTGTGCCAGTCAGATCTGGATTAATAGTTGAGGCGATTTACCTCAAGAGGCCTTGTTACAGGTGCTTGTAACTCTAAACTCCTCTCTAACTGCCTGGCAGGAGAGGGAGGAGGGGAACCAGTAAATCCACAGATGATGCAGACACAAACAAGACCCGTCTGAAACTCACTTTTTCTGTACAAAATCAGGATGGCCGCAGGAAAAAACCTCTTCGATTTCGGACAAAAGGCTGTCGATGAGCCCAGGACACAAAATCCCCCTCTGATACTACCCTACACTACCTGTCACTGACAACAAGTTTTCTTGACTTTAGCTCTTCTGGTTACTGGAAATTGTTATCCAGGAGCACAGGCAAACACGCTGCTTTCCTACAGTTTTCGTGTGGTAGTGTAGATCGCCCTGCTGTGTAGGCTGATTCAAGTACAGCAGGGAATCTTTCAGCTTTAAAAACAGTTCAAGCTGCTCACATTTAAGGAAAGATGGAAAAACAGCATCATTCTTATTTGGTGATGAGTATCCATGTGACAGTTTGGTTCACCAGCCCAGTCTCAGGCTCCTCTCCAGGGCTGGACTGCACCTCCTACATCTGCAGCACTGTGCTGTGCCGACTCTGCTGCTCCATGACCCTACATAGTAGGAGGAGGGTGCTGGGATGATGGATCAGGCTGACCAGCTGCGCTTGACGTCACCCAGCACACTGGGTCCACACACTGCATCTGAGCTGCTCACGGAATAAGCCTGACTGCCAGGGAGAGAAACAGAGGCAGGAGCTGACACTGTTGCCTGTGACCAGGTCAACCTCCAAGGCTTCATGTGTGCCTGAGAATGGAGCTCGAGCATCTCTCATCTCCACTAAGATGATTATATTTCGGAATGATTTCATTTTGCTTGTTAACAAATTGCCAGTAAAATAGGTAATTGTTCCTGGCCTGAAGTTAAACAATCCTTTTACTGAGTTACTGTTATTTACAGGTCAGAGAGCTGCAAGAGGTTTGGCCTTCAAGGCACCACACTGTCCCCTCTAGGAAAAGGGGTGAAGTACAAAAACATTCCACCATACTTTACAAAGAAATTAATTTAACCTATAATTATTGTTATTATAGGGCTGCTTGTCCACCTTGGCTTCTTAAACAACTACACACTGCAACGCATACAGAGCTGCTGTTCAGAGCAACTCTTACCTCTTCGTGACCCTTCCTGGCTTCTAAAATAACTGTATCAGTGTTGCAACTCGCTCTTTCCATAGGTCTTTATTTGCTTTTTATTAATAAGGAGCATCTGCAGGGAAACAGGATCTGACTCACTGGGCAGCACAGCTGCCCTTGCTGCTCACTCTCCCACCTGAAACAACAGTCCCGTTCCAAAAGTCGCCTCCATGACATACAGCACCTAAATCCAACATCATCAGAGCAATGCAGTGCTGCTCTTCTGAGGGACAGAACATTCTTGGCTGCTCCCCGTGAAAGAAACTCTTGAACAGTAGCTTTGCATATCTCAAACTTACCTTGGTTTTGTGCTGTCTCACTCCTTTTCTGAGTCTCAGTGAGGAGCATCCAGCCAGTGTGACTCTTTTTCAAAATTGATTCCTTATCCATATTTGGGAATTTGTGCTGGGCACTAGCTGGTACGAGGCACAGTTCTTCCCACAGTGCACTTTGGGACTTGTAGTTCCCAAAAAGGAATGTTGTTTTCCAAATTGCAAACGCCAAGCAATAGAAACAGAAGTCTGAAACGCCTTTACCTCTGTCTTTGCTTAGCTGCTGGGCCCTTCCTTTTCCAGTTTCTGTGCTGTGATTTCACCTTAACCAGCCTGAATCCTTCAGGACCCTCTTCCACTGTTAATGGCAGTGTGCAAACCCTTTGGATCCACCACCGTGTAAAAGCTGCTACTGCAGAGTGCTCCTGCTGCTGCCGTGAGGGGCAGGTACATGGCCCTGCCTCAGAGAAATAGCTACTTAGAAAAAGAGTAAAGATCGAGTTTTTAATCATACTCTTCACACTTTCTTCCCTGCTGCTATCACTAAAATGGCATAGAAACTCCTCTTTCAAGAATGTGTTTCACTCTTTAATATTTAGTCTTGCATTATCTTGATTTTTTAAAAAAAATTAAATAATGATAGTAGAGGGACAGGATTACAAGATAAATCAATCCTGCCTCTCCTGCAGAGATTAATTTTTGAAGAGCGTTTTGCACTGACCGCCATAATTACCTTGTAACCAAGACACCCTGTTGTTTTTAAATAACAACTGAAGAAGAATGTGAATCGCTGCCTGCCGGGCACTGATGGAGACACTGTTATTATGCCCGGACTCCATCAACAGCGTAATGTGCTTAAAACTGCGGACACGAGATGCCTGAGAAGCTCCCGGAGGAAGAGACGGCCAGGAGAGCAGGGCATCCATCACCCGCCCCGGCGGTGCTGCTGGAGCTGTGGGGAGCGCTTTCCCTTTCGCACCGCGCCAAACCCCTTCTCTCGGTGGCTGGCCAGGAGGAGGAAAGCGGCAGCCAGCTCGGCTGGGACACTCTCGGGGCTGGGCTGACGCCCGGCGGCCGCGGGGAGAACGGCGGCGTCGGGAACCGCCGGCTCGGCCTTTTCCCCCGGCAGCCACACGAGGGAGGAACCGAGGCAGAGGCGTATTTTGGCAGGGGCAGGCACCGACCGCGGTCCCGGCACAGCCGCGCCCCAGCTGCGGCCGCAGCCTCTCGGGGCGCTGCCGAGACCCCGCTTTCCACCGCTAATGCCCGGGGAGTGACACAATCATGGAACGTATCGGGCTGGAAGGGACCGCAGTGGGTCATCTGGTCCCACCTCCCTGCTCAAGCAGGGTCATCCCAGAGCACATGGCACAGGATTGTGTCCAGAAAGGTCTTGAGTATCTCCAGTGAGGAGCCCTCACAACTTCTGGGCAATGTTCGGTCACCCGCACAGTTAAGAAGTTCTTCCTCCTGTTAAGGTGGAACTTCCTGTGCATCAGTTTCTGCCCGTTGCCTCGTGTCCTATTGCTTGGCACCACCGAGCAGAGGCTGGCTCCGTCTTCCTGGCACCCCACCTTTAGACATTTATACTCATATATGTACATATACATATATATATTATTGATGTCCCCTTTCAGCCGCCTCTTCTCAAGGCTGAACAGGCCCAGCTCTCTCAGCCTTTCCTCGTAAAGAGGGACGCTCCAGTCCCTCAGCCATCCTCGCTGCCCTCCGCCGGTCCCCGCCGCAGTGACTACACGTCCCGCCGGCCCGCGGGGCCGGGAGAAGATGCCCGGCGGGGCGGCCCTTCCGCTGCCGGGAGGCGGCGGGGCCGGGGCTCCCTCTCGTTGTTCCGGTGGCAGCCCGAGCGGAGCGGAGCCGTGCCCCGGCGGGGGCTATGGCCGCGCTGGAGCTGCAGCCAGAGCCGTGTGGGGAGGGCAGTGCCCTCAGCCCTCCCGCCATGCCGGGCGATCCGCCCGCCTGGAGCCCCGCGCCGGCACAGGCACAGGCACAGGCACAGGCACAGGCACAGGCACAGGCGGCCGCGCTGCTGGAGGAGGCGGCGGATCTGCTGGTGCTGCACCGGGACTTCGCCGCCGCCGTAGAGAAGTGTGAGGCGGGCTGCGACAGCTTGGCAGCCGGTGCCGGGCCCGGGCCCGGCCCCGAGAGGTGCGAGTGCAGGTGCCAGGCAGTGCGGAGGGGACGGGGTGGCGCTGGGAAGCGGCCTGGCTGGCCGTGCCTGCCCTCCTCGGGGGTTTCATTTGTTTCATTTGTTTTTCCTAATAGAAGGCTTTTTTAAAATTATTTTTTTTTTAATAAAAAATACTTTTAAAAATAAAGATTAACTTTTTTTTTTTCCTCTTTTTAAAATCTTTTTTCTTCCGGGGATTAGGAGCCTCTTAGATTCGGATATAAATATTACATGTATAAATGGCAGTAGCACCCATGGTCCTTGCTGTGGCCCTGCACAGCTTTTTTTTCATAATTATCTAAATTAAGGGAGAATGGGCTTGTCACTAAAAAGCAGCTTGCTAGCCATGTAAGACCCGGCCTGGCTTTGGCTGCTATTTGATAAGAGCCCGTCAGTATTAACATGCTTCATGTGAAGGGATCTGTGTGTGTTTGAGGGAAGCAAGGTGTGCCCAGGAGCCTCCCCTTCGTCCTCTCAGACGTACAGGCTCTCTGGAGGGGTGGAATATTCCTCTTTATCGGGGGCAAGGACTGGAAAAGGAGGGGGAGCAGCTGCCAGAGAACTGTGGAGTCCCTGGGCTGGGCTGCAGCTCACTGGAAGGAATGCAAGGGGAAATGTGGTTGTAAGAAGCGCTTATTTAGGTGTCTCTTCATTACCAGTTCTGCAGAAGTGAAATGCTCCCTTTGTGTTGTGGGGATTCAGGCGCTGGCTGAGATGAACCGGTGGAGGGAAGTTCTGTCTTGGGTCCTACAGTATTACCATGTCCCTGAACATCTGCCTCCAAAAGTTCTGGAGCTGTGGTGAGTTTCTGTCTGTTGCTGTCAGATATACACAGGGCTTGCGTTAGGTTTAACACCAGGCCAGGTTTGAGTATTACGTGATATTCCAACTTTGCGTGGTGTAAGTGAGGATGAAGGTGAGATCTGGGACAGGCCTGTTCTTGACCTGTGTATGCTGGAACATGCCTGCAAGGTTGCTTCATGGTTGTAGAGTACAAAGGGGGTGATGCTGAGAGAGTAACATCAGTGGCTATGTTGTCACTGTTGTGTGTTGCAGAAATCTCTCTGTGTTTCAAGTGTAGATCCCGATTCATATCCTCATGACAGCTGCTTGTGGGGAGTAACTGTCAGCCATCTTGGCTTTTACAAAGAGTTAGTGCTTTCTAATATTTCTTCCCTGCATTCCAGTATCCTGTTGTACAGCAAAGTGGGAGAGCCCCAGGTGATGCTGGAGGTTGGCAGCAGCTGGCTGAGAGACCAAACCAACAAGACCCTCTCTGAGTACGGTTCCCTGCTGGAGCTCTATCTGCTGCAAGTGCTGCTGCCACTCGGCCGGTTTGAGGGCGCAGAAGAACTTGTCTGTGGTTGTGACGTGCTGGACAGCGAGCAGCAGCTGGCATTCCTTGGCACCATTGGCGAGAGCCGGTGTCAGTGGAGCCAGCAGGAAGAGAGACGCTCAGCAGCTGAAGAGCAGCACGATGCGGCAACAGAAAGTGTTTTGGGTAGGGTTTGCCTCTCTTGTTTGCACTCCTTTTTTATAGTTTTATTTCAAGTTGGTCCCTTACTAGCAAAGGGTAGAATCATAGAATCATAGAATTAACTGGGTTGGAAGACACCTCCGAGATCATCAAGTCCAACCCTTGATCCAACCCCACCTCCTTTCAGGGAGTTGTAGAGAGTGATGAGGTCACCCCTGAGCCTCCTTTCCTCCCTGAGCAAGCATTAACTATGTATTACGAATATTGTCATGACAGGATGGTGAACATGAGCCAGCAGTGTGCCCAGGTGGCCAAGAAGGCCAGTGGCATCCTGGCCTGGATCAGGAACAGTGTGGCCAGCAGGACCAGCAAAGTGATTCTTCCTGTGTACTCAGTGCTGGTGAGGTCACACCTGGAGTGCTGTGTCCAGTTCTGGGCCCCTCAGTTGAGGAAGGATATTGAGGTGCTGGAGCGGGTCCAGAGAAGAGCAACAAGGCTGGTGAAGGGACTTGAGCACAAGTCCTATGAGGAGAGGCTGAGGGAGCTGGGCTTGTTTAGCCAGGAGAAGAGAAGGCTTAGGGGAGGTCTCATCCCTCTTTACAACTACCTGAAGGGAGGTTGTAGCCAGGTGGGGGTTGGTCTCTTTTCCCAGGCAGCTATCAGTAAGACAAGAGGGCATGGTCTCAGGCTCTGCCAGGGGAAGTTTAGGTTGGATATTAGGAAGAAATTCTTTACAGAGATGGTAATCAGGCATTTGAATGGGCTGCCCAAGGAAGTGGTGGATTCTCCGTCCCTGGAGGTATTTAAGAAGAGACTGGATGTGGCACTGAGTGCCATGGTCTAGTAACTGTGGTGTTAGTGGATCAAGGGCTGGACTTGATGATCTCAGAGATCCTTTCCAACCCATATGATTCTATGATTCTATGATTCTATGATTCTATGATTCTATGATTCTATGATTCTATGACACACCAGCTGTGAGGAAGTCCTGTTGTGTATCACAGCAGGAAATAAAAGACTTAGTGATCCCTTTGCCGGCAATTGCCAAGTGTATTTAGTCTCTGCTAACATCAGGAGGTGAGAAGTATTGTCCAGGTACAGAAGCACTTCAGAATAAATGTGGAGGATTTTTTGGTTTGTTTTTCTCTTTTTAAGGTAAAAAGGAGAACTAAAACTACCTAGCAGTCCTTTAAAGATACATTTTGTTGGCTGTGTGTGCTCCTTGCTTCATTTCCATTTGCAGCTGAATCCATGGAACAATATATGTCTAGCATTTAAAGTACTGCTTCTTCTCCACAACTATAAATCACTTGATGTTATCTCCCAGGAGAGAGGCTGGCACTGCTGTGGTACAAGATCATATTATACTAAAGTAGATGCTTAAAAAAAAAAAAAGGCATAATGAATTGTATTACAAAATTGTACTGTTTCTCTGTGCCCTATTATAAAAAAAAAACCAAACAACCTAACCCAGCCCTCATGCAATCAGACTTCTAGTATCTTAGTTTCTTATTATCTATTTCTATGTGATTACTTTTTAAACTTTACTTTGCCCCAACAGCCTTTCTGTTCTTGTTTTACAGGAGCTCTGTCCCAGAAGCTCTTGACCATGTTGAAGTTGCTACGTAGAGCACTGAGGTCCATGTCAAGCCACTTCTATTTACTTCCTTACAAGAAGATGCTCTTCGCTACTTTTCTGCTGTACCTAGTGGTGGTGAGATTAGACCCAGGTACAGCATTAAGATTTCCGATTTTTAAATATCCATTATGATTATGGAGAATAAATTAGTTGCTTTTAATAGATTTGGTCTGTGTAACTGTCTCATCTTGGGGAGACACAAAAACTGGGGCTTGTTTCTAGTGTTTCCAGTTGCAGTGCGTGTAGAAAGATGAAGCTCAACAAACACCAGTTTTCTGAAAACAGTTATGCCATCCTCATCTCTTTTGATCATACAAGGTACAGACTGTGAGAGGCAGGCAGAGACTGTGCTAGACTCAGCCTGAACCGAAGGAAGTAAGAAAACTAGGTTTCGATTAATTCTAGTTGGGATTAGTTTTTTCTTAATATGTTCTTAATATGCTTAGTGTATCTTAGTTTTACTTTTTGTAATGAAAGGCTCTTTTCCTTTTTGTTTTGCTTTGCAGCTTCTCCCACATCACTGCCATTCGTTTATAAACTGGTCCAGCTCTTCCGACAGGCTTGGGCAGCTGTCCTTTCTCCAATCCATAAGCCTGCAATTCGAGAATAAGTGTCTTCCATCAGTAAAAGTGTCAGCTTGTCTGGAGGCTGTTACCAGGCTCTTTGAGGACTGTTGAAATCTGAGATGACCAACTGTGGACTCCTGGGTGGTGATACCTTAATTTCTTCAGACAGGGAATTTAAAACCACAACAAGTATTCTCGACATTTTTCTTGGCCCTGTCTAACACCAGGGAAAGCCACACCTTCCATTATTTACAACTGAATAAGAACCCTCTTTTTCAAACCCTTTGCTTTGGATGTAGCTCTTGAATGAGGTTTGTGTAGCCAGTTATGAACTATGGAAGACGGTTTCATCCTTGTAAATGCTGAGCAGTTCTCTGAACAAGTGAAATAGTGTTCCTGGAGGCATGACTGTAAAAATCAGTGGAGTACCAGTGATTTGGGGGAATATTCTGTTTTGCCTGAAGGCATTTGAAAAGCCCAGTTCCTGCAGCATGGGATTTAGGACAAGCATGTGAAAGAAAAACACTGGAGAAACTGAAGCCTATTGCATTTTGAAGGCCGTGTTTCCCCTTGTGACTGATGCCTCTTTACATAGGCACACTGGATTTTAGTCATACATAAGCCAGAAAGCCATGCTGGTGGGCCACAAAGACTGTTAGCACCTGCTGTACCTGCTCTTCCTAAATGCAAATTACAGCACTTTGTGCTTGCCTGATACATAGTGATTCTTAGAAGCACGCGTTGGTGGTAAGGAAATAGATTTATTTTTTTAAACTATATTCTATGTTATTGTCTAGTTGAACAACTGAAGTTGTTGCATTGTTTTACTCTTTCCCTACCTCTTGCTTTGTTTATGTAGACTTCAAAAAGTCTCTGTATGTCTAGAGTTGCCCCCCCGGTATCCAAAGTTAGATGGGAGCCATTTAGCAATGATCTGTCATTTAGAACAAAAGTTTATTTTTATAGAAAGAGGTACTTCTCTGAGATCCCAAGGTCTTCCCCAGGTCAGTGGCAAGAAAATCAGTCCACCTGAAGATCTGTCACCAGACCAAGTCCGTTTCTGACCACTTTGGGGCAGAAATTGGAGGTTTGGGGTAGAACATTATTTTCTCCTCCATCCATTGTGGATTGACAAAAGGTAAATTCCAAAGGGAGAGCACTGACCTAAAAAAACATTGCTTTCAGCCAATGTAGATCCCAGTGTGGTGTCTTAGCGCAGTAGTGCCCTTTGTCTTTAGCAATAACCATATTCCGAGGTGGTGGCTGTTCCTGTTTTCTTCACAGGGATGGCCTGTTGGCACCTTTAGGCTGTGTGTGACCTGTTGCTTTGCTGTCTACCAGGAACTACACGTTGATAACAGTCCCATCTGCAGTGCTAAAAACAGTTGTCTGTTTCATCTTAAATTATCCCAATAAGCAAAACACTCTAGCATTACTGTCAGACAAACTGGGCCAGGTCACTCAGGAATGCAGTAATGACCTTGCCAAGGTCTCAAGAATAAAACCAAAACCAATCCCATATCCCGCCCCAGAGGTTTTGCCTCTGCCCGGATTCTACACCAGGGTAAGTAGCACATTGTGCTTCACAAAATGAAGAAGTTATTTGTTATACACTCTGCACGCATAGGGAAGAACCGCCTTTGATATTGCTAAATGGTTCCTGTAATCCAACTATAAGTGTAGTTACAGTTCTGCAACCAACAGTTGATGGGAAACCAGATAGAGTAAAACACAGAAGTTATATCTGGAGTTGAGCTCTTTCAAGAAATGACCAGGATGTGTCTACTGGCTCCTTGCTTTGCAAGGCCTCACCTTAAGTCCTTTGTAAGCCAGTTGACCAAATAGCAAACTTCACCCTGAAGTCAGGACAAATTCTCGCCAAACTGACTGTGTAGGTAAGGAACAGTTTTCGCTCTGGTCTTCTAGCAACAGTCTCGGAAGTTGGGACCAGTGGTTTCAGCAGGCCATATGTAGTGTTTAGAACACTGTTAAATGTTGTAGGCACTCCTTTACCAGGACTTTGACATTCAACTTTAAATGTAGGTTGTTAACCCTAACTTTTTTTGAGTCCTACTGATTTAGTGTTTGCGTTGTACTTAATTCATCACGAGAGGGCAAAAAGGCAGAAATAAGCTATCAGGGATTTTTTGCAATTGATACTGAAGCTGCGATATTTAGTTTTCATAATAAATTGACTACTGATTTACCTCTTTGTGGAGTTTCTTGTTTGTGTTTTGATTGTATATGAAAAGTTCAGTATTTAATGTTTTGGTAGAAAGTGTATCAATGCACTACGAAGTGTATCAAAGTTTTCAAATAACTTCCAGAAATGTTTCACTACATGTCCTCATTTTACAGACATACTTGGAACTAAATATAGGAATTGTTCAGTGTGTGAATCTGACGAGATCTAATCAACTGATGATGTTGGTAGGGTACAAGTCTGCATTTTGGGATGGCTAAGAGCAGTACTACCAAGAATAAAGTACCTGGTATTCATCTTTATTTTACATATGTATATATATATAATAAAATACGTATAAATATATATATGTATATTAGAATTGTACTTCTGAACTTGCTACATTGAGGAAGAAAATTCTACAAGTACAGATCTAATTCTATAAATTTTAACATATGTAGATAACTTTTGTATATGACAAATTTTGCCGAAAAGGCGATAATTGTTTTGCAGCTGTATCCCAACACGTACCTAATTTTTCTTTATTTATAATTAATTTTAAAAATACAGACCACCTTTCTCTATTTCAGGGATAACGCCTGAAAAACAGTATTTTATCAATATAGCAGTATTATGCAGGTACTGAATTACCAGACTTGGGGATTTCAGAAACCCCTGTCGGTTCTCCCAGCAGGTGGCAACAGAACGTCAGAAAGCAGTTCCACAGGGAACACAGGGAAGCGTTTAGATCTTCTTTCACTTAGGTATTAAAATGCGTGGGAAGTGCAAAGACTTTCTCCCTCCCAAATTAAAAGAGGTTTTCATGTGATCACCAAAGAACTTCTTAGGAGTGCAGTGTTTTGTAAGCTGGCACATTACTGTTCTAAAATAATCCACGATTCTGACACTATTGCTGAGTCAGTTAGGTAACCGATCTGTAGGGAGTGATGTACATCTGGTAGAGGAGAAAAAGGAGTTAATCATCCTTCATTTGCCTGCTGATGTATTTCAATCTCCAGTCAGAACAGAGCTGGTAGATCACAGGACTCAGTGGTTCTCTTGGCCTGAGATCTGGTGGACTGGTGTGCTGGCTTTAGCTGGGATCTAAGTAATTTTCTTTATAGTAGCTGGTATGGGGCTTTGTTTTGGATTTGTGGATAAAACTGTTGGTACTGCAGGGATGTTTTGGTTATTGCTGAGCAGTGCTAGCATGGAGTCAAGGCCTTTTCTGCCTCTTACACCACCCCACCAGCGGGTGGGCTGGGGGTGCACAAGAAGCTGTGAGGGGACACAGCCAGGACAGCTGACCCCAAATGACCAAAGGGTGTTAGCCCTGCTGTCCCGGAGATGTCTGAACATCTGCCTGCCCATAGGAAGTGGTGAATCAACTCCTTGGTTTGCTTTGCTTGCGTGCGGCTTCTGCTTTACTTATTAAACTGTCTTTATCTCGACCCACGGGTTTTCTCCTCTACTGCTTAGTTGCCAGCTGAGGTTAAACTGTCACAACAGTACCTCTAAGTTCTAGATTATTCAAAAATGTGAATTTTTGATAGACACATTCAAAGATGTGTCTATCTTTAAATAAAGAAAAAGGGTTTAGGATTCCTCTGGCACCTCCCACACAGGTTGAATGCCAGCATGGAGCAGGATGACTTACTTCCAAGCATCCAGGTCCAGGCCATATCTGCCTCATGTCTCCATGGAGCAGAGCCCAGAGGCTGACTCTGGAGTCAGTAAAACTCACTGGTACCTGGGAGCACAGTCCCCTATTGTGCTTTCGGGTTACCCTCTAACTCCAGGCTGAGGGGTTTCTGCCCGAGGATTCCAAATGCAGGTGGACAGAGCAACATGGGGAAACATCATGAAAAAGAGGCTGCTTGACTCTTACTCAGGGTTTTTACAACTGTGGCTGGCCTTCACCCCAGAGCAGCACGTATTTCCAGCACTTGAGTTTATGGGCTAACTCAAGACAGAGCAGATCAAGCATTATCTTTTTTCTAGAGCAGATTTACAAGGGCCTTTTTATCAGCTGGTGTGAGAAAGGGAAAAATAGAAACCTGGCTCATCCTCAGGCTCTTCAATTGATTCTAGAGAGAAGAGACTTAGCTGTTGTGCTCCCACTGGCTAAGGGAGAGCAGAAAAAATGCCACAAAGGACTAAGTTGCAAATAATTTAGTAATTCACAGAGCTCTTTTAGGTTTTGTAGCTGCTAGATCTGACATGTTGACTCAAAGTGTGCCTAGGAGGTTTAAGTGGTGGACTGCTCAAAGTATTTGCTGTGAGACTTTTTCCTGAGGTGATGCTCTGCACAGAGCTCACATCTGGTGAAGCTGTGAACATTAGCGTATCAGATTGTCTGGAGCACCAGAGCTTTCTGGAATGTTACCACTTCCACAGGAAGAAGAACACTAAAACAGCAAGAACACTAGAACAACCTATTCCTTAGTCTCAAAGCAACAATCTGAGGTTTCCTGGAGAACTGGGAGACTAAACTTAAACAAAGCAGCAAATAGAAATAATCATGGAAATTCTTTGTTTGTAAAAAAATATTTGTGGCTCTAGAAACCTCTGTAGCTTTTACCAGCCAAAATCAAAGAGTAGTGATTTGCAGGTTTATGTAAAGAATACCAAAGTAAATGTGAGTTTAAAAAAAAAAGGTATGAACTATTTCTCACTGTTAAAATGTAGGTGTTTAAGAAGACACTTATAAGCTGGTTACCACCAGTGGCAGAACAGTCTGTTAATATCATCACATCCAAGTAGACTAACCTACACTTTAGGAATTGTCTATTTAAGTTTCTGCTGATTAAACATCATAATAAACAGTACATTTATAAAGTTAAACAGTACATTTATTAAGTCAGGATACATAACACTCAGGTTCAAGCAATTAAACGTGCCTTCCTCTTTGTTACCTAGGAATTGCAAACATGAGGATTTCTCTGCTGTATTCCAATGCTGAACTACTGCAGAAGGAGCAAAGGGGTGGAGGCAACTGCCCTAATTTGGTGTCAGAACGTTGTGTGATGCCTCCAGCTCTGTCCTGCAATAAACACTGCAATAAGAATCAAATTTCTTTCTGTGTTTGGGCAGATGAGTGAGAGTCTGTACTGAATGCTGTCCCACACTGCTGACAGCCCAGATAGCTGTAGAGAAGCAATAAGAGTCAATTGAAATGTAAATACAGAGGCATTAATAGAGAAGCCAGATGATCATTTAAGAGCACTGGTAGAGCACACTCCAGAATGGTAATTATGTTCACTTTCCTGTTCTTTTTTTTTTTCTCGTACCCTTCTCTTTTCCACTCGTTTGCTCTCTTATGCCTTCTCTATTGAAACTCAGGAGTCATTTTCATGCACACATGTACACACTGGCAGAACAGGACACTGGGGAAGGCACGTGTCTGGTGGGTGACATAAAATCCTCAGGTGTTTGGAAGTACAGTGGTCACGCTCTGATTGAACAAGTGTGCCAAACCTAGCTGCGCTGAGTTTGAAGTCTGGGGTGTGCCTGAGCCCTGCCTGGGTGAATCTGCACACCCAGGGTGGGGTGTGGGGAGGGCAGGAGGCAGTGGTGCAGCGGGGTGACCTCTTCCCACCGCGCCGTGACACTGAAGCGCCGCAGCAGGTGCCGGGCCCAGGCTGTGCCTCCCGCCCTGCAGCCCAGAGCCAGGCTCCTGCACAGACTGCCACCACTGATCCCAACGGGAAGGAAACGCCGCTGCAGACACCATGGTAAGGGGGATGTGGGAACATCAGTCATGTGGGGATGGGGAGGGCTGTGGGCAAGTAACAACTGCCATTGTTATCAGTAGTTTGTGCCACAAAACCCTGATCTCACGTACCAATTACCACATAAGAGGACGGGAAAGGAGTGTCAAAAAATCTCAGTGAAGCACTAAGGCACGGTGAGACAAAGTTTTCTTCAGAGAGTCCCTAATTAGTGTAATTATAAGATAAATTAAATCTGGAGCCATAGCTGTCTAGTACTTTCTGTTGTGATGACATTTTCTCAACACTGGTTCATTTTTAGATAAGCTAATATTATTTATTTAGAAATAAAAAGGTCACTTACCTTTGTCTCTGTTTTAAATTAATTTTGCCCCAAAGGCTGCACTGTCCGTAGCTATATGGTGTGTGCATGTGTGTTTCTGGAGTCCATGAATCCTTTTACATATGTATCTATTTAAGTAAGTAAAAAAAAAAGGCCCTTCATTTTCAGGAGTTGGGGATTTGTTAAAAATTTGTAGAAATCTCTCAAAATGTCTTAGAATGTGAAAACCCATTTCACCTTGTACCCCAATATACATCTAGCACTGAGTCTAATTTTGGTGCAGAGAAGTATGTTACTTTCTGCCAGTACAGCTGCAGGTCCGAAAGGAGAGAGCTCGTTTTGCAAGCAAGACACACACGTCCACAGGCTCCCCAGACCTAGGGCAGTAAGTTTCTGGAACAGCTGGAAGAATAAAGTCTGCCTTTGTGCAATATATACTACAGCCAGGTACTCGTCTGTTCATTTTTAAGAGTTAAAGCTGTCCCAGGTTTAATTTCACAGAGGACCTGGTCCTTTCTACTGTCCCTTGGTAGATGAAAAGACAGTTTGTTAGGCCTGTCCTGGTACATTAGCGGTGGGACGTGAAACATGAGTTTGGAGTAGACTCCAAATTTAAATATCACATAAAGATCAGTTTACTGTGCCTGTGACTCTGGAGAAGGCCTACTCCCTTCCCTGCTAAAAGTCTAGTGTCTATTTTAATGCTGTTTACTATGCAAAATCAGAAACCTCTTTGTTAGTGTCTTCTCTGCTTGGCACAATATTTCCAAATTACTGCTGGGGTAGGAGAAGATGGAATGGCTTGAAAGCCAGAGCTGAGAGACCGTTTCAAACTAGTGCAGCTGAAAACTCAGTCTAAAAGGAAAACCTTCAACTGTAGTCCTGTACTAAGCTTTACAATATTAACTTTCTAAGGCAGCATTCACTTGTTCCAGCTCTGCAAAAACAGATCAGTTCCTCTACTGATCTGAGG